ACACACACACACACACACACACACACACACACACACACACCCCACTGGGCAAAACACAAGGGAGTGCAACAGAACAGCAGGGGGAACAAAGCAATGAAATCCCAGAGGAATCCCCAAAACAGACTCAGGGTCAGGGCTTGGCACCTCATCAAATCAGATCAGAACACATTCATAAAGATCAACAGATAGACCTGGAACTATTTATAGGGGTGTTTTTTTTTTCATGTCTATCTATATAAGATAGGCAGAATAAACAATTCTGAGGAAAAAACAATGGACTGATTGTTTCAGGGGGGACATGGGAGAAGGGGAGGTCAGGGAAAGAAAGGAGGATCCAACAAACCCAGAGACAAGAGAACAAGTGACCTAAAATCGATGCCAAGGAGGTCATAGAATGCCCGGTGGGGTTTGAGCAAGTAAAATGTAGCCAAGAGGAATCACTGAAAGCCAAATGAAAGTCAAAAATGATAGTGGGACAAGAGGAAAGTTAAAGGAAATAGAAGAAAGAACTAGGAGGCAAAAGACATTTATTGAGGTATAAATACAGGCACTGTGATAATTAGGTTTACTGTGCCAACCTGGACAATAGGAACATGTGGGATTAATCAGATTGCAATTTGATTGGAGGGCAAAGAGGTAAATGGCTCTGCAAGGCCCACCGCCATCTCTCTTGCTCTCTGGTGATTGGAGTGTGCTGGAGCGTTCTTGCTGCTACTGTAGCTAAGTTCTCTGCCTCAACCTGGGAGCTACACCACTTGTGGGCTAGGCCAGCCTGTGGATCGTATAGCTAGAGCTTGAGGCTCCTTTAAGACCTGCTTCGCCTCGCTGCTGGTGCATACATTGCTTGAACTTGAGCCTAGTGGATTCTGTTGCCTTGCATTGCTTGCATCGGGGCCTGCTTCTCTAAGCTCTCGAGATACTGACTGCTGGTGCCCACCCTGCTGCTTGTTGCCTGTGGGCAGACTCTGCTTGCCTTGCCCCAGGGAGGACTCTGCTGTCTGCTTCCTTGACCTGGCACCCAACAGCCCACTTAAATTGAAGGACTTCCAGTATATTAACTGTTCCACCAAAGTGAGTTGAACTGAACCCTCTGTACTGCTGTGTGGACTAATTAGTTGTTATATTCCTTCTCGCTATAAAAAACCTATCCTCTTATTTATATATTTATATATAAAATCATAAGTGTCCTGGTCTCATTACTCTAGAGAACCCTGCCTATGTAAATATATTTATATATAGTGATAGGGACATAGATCTAAGTGCATATATTTATGTTAAGTATTAAGGTAGCAGATAGATATTGAGCCTCAAGTACTCCATGAATGCAAGAACACTTTGTTCTAATAACCTGGCATTCTGTGATGTTCACCTTCCTGACACGATTGCTGAAGACAAAATGGGTGTATAAGTAAATGTGGTGAAGAAAGCTGATGGTGCCTGGCTATTAAAAGATATAGCATCTGGGGTCTTAAAGGCTTGAAGATAAACAGGCAGCCATCTAGCTGGGAAGCAACAAAGTCCACATGTAAGAAGCACATCAGCCTGTGTGGTCATGAGGTGTCAACATAATCAGGTATCAGGCATCAGAAGACCCAAAACAAACAACCATATCGATGTGAATGAGGGGTGGGGGGCGGGGGCTGAACGCCCAACTGTAGACAATTGGACATCCCCTCACAGAGGGGTCACAAGGAAGGGACAAGCCAGCCAGGGTGCAGTATAGCACAGACAAAACACACAACATTCCTCTAGTTCTTTAATGCTTCCTCCCCCCACTATCATGACCCCACTTCTAGCTTACAAATCCAGCTAGACCAGAGCATGTACACCGATACAGATAAGGGAATCCATGACAGAAACCCCCCAGGAACAATAATGGGAGTATTGATACCATGAGGGCAGGGGTAAGGTGGGGGAAAAGGAAACCAATAGCAATAATCAACGTCACCCCAGGGTGACGAACAACAGAAACATGGGTGAAGGGAGACAGTTGTTGGTGTAAGATAAGAAAATAATAATAATTTATAATTATCAAAGGTTTATGAGGGTGAGAGGATGGTAGAGAGGGGGAAATGAGGAGCTGATACCAAGAGCTCAAGTAGAAAGAAAATGTTTTGAAAAGGATGATGGCAACATATGTACAAATGTGCTTGCCACAATGGATGTATGGATTGTTATAAGAGTTGTAAGAGCCCCCAATAAAACGATTAAAAATAAATAAATAGAAATAAAAAATTTTAAAAACAGTTATAGTCTTGGAAACCCACAGGGGGTTCCCTCTGAGTCAACATTGACTCAAGGGCAGAGAGTCTGGTTTTTGGTTTAGGCAGCAGATTTACCCATTTCAATGCATCCTTGGATCTCATGATTCCTGCTTCCATGACCATTGGCTGTGGGTCCAAGTAAGATTCTTGACATCTATCTTTTCTCAATTTAACCAATTATTGTTCCGGTTGTGTGGATTTTTTTGTTTTCTTTACACTGAGTTGTAATTGTAGTGAAGGCTGCAATCCTTAATCTTCATCAGTAAGTGCTTTAAGTCTTCCTCATTTTCAGCAAGCAAGGCTGTGTCATTTGCATATTAAAGGTAGTTAATGAGCCTTCCTCCAATCCCCATGCCACATTCTTCTTCATATAATCCAGCTTCTCTGATGCATACAGCACACAGATTGAATAAGTATTAGAGGTTACAACTCTGATGCACACCTTCCCTGATTTTAAACCATGTGGTACTCCCTTGCTCAGTTGGAACAACTCCCTCTTGATCCATGTACAGGTTCCACATGAGCATAGATCGATGCACAGGTTCCACAAGTGTCCTGTTTGTTATGATCCACACAGTTGAATGTCTTTGCACAGTCAATGAAGCATAAGTAGAAACATCTTTCTGATATTCTCTTTCAGTCATCATTGCTTGATGTCCCTTGTTCCTCTTCTGAATATGACCTGAACCTTTGGCAGCTCCTTGTCAATGTACTGTTGCAGCTATTGCTGGATGATCTTCCCCAAAATTTTACTTGCATGTGATATCAATGATATTGTTTTATTATTTGCATATTCTTTTGGGTCACCTTTCCTTGGAATGGGTACAAATATGGATCTCTTCCAGTCAGTTGGCCAGGTAACTGTCTTCCAGCACCCAGGGCTGCCTCAGGGTAGGTCCATGCAGCTTCTCCTTGGGGATGTCTGGCAGGAAGTGAGCCTTGCCAGCTAAAACAAGGAACTGGTTAAGGCAGCTGCACCCTGGTCCGACCATCACAAAGCAAAAGACCCGAGAACTAAAAAGGCGAGGCTCACCGAGCCATTTAACCCTCCGCCCTTCAATTAACCCCACATGTGTTTATTGGCCAAGTTGGCACAATAAACTTTAACTATCTCAATTTTACTCATACAATCTTCAATTTTGTAACTCAAGGCTTCAATTTTTTTTCTTGAGTTCTTTCAGTTTAAGAGATGTTAAGCATGCCCTGCCTTTCTGGTTTTCTAACTCTAGATCTTTTTACATGTCTTTATAACAGTTTACTTTGTCTTCCTTAGCTGCCCTTTGAAATTTTCTGTTCTGCTCTTGACTACATCGTTTCTTCCATTTGTTGTCACTGCTCTATGATCAAGAGGAAGTGTCAGAGTATTTTCTGACATCCATTTTGACCACTTCTTATTTTCCTGCCTTTTTAATTACCTTTTGGTTTCTTCATGCATGATAGTCTTGATGTCCTCCCACAGATCATCTGGTCTTCTGTCCTTAGTATCCAATGTGTCAAATCTGTTCTCGAGATGTTTTAAAATTTCAGGAAGGATAGACTCAAGGTCATATTTAGGTTCTCAGGAGCAATCGATGGTCTGTTCCCCAGTCAGCACTCGGCCTGGTTTTAGCTGCTGATATTGAGCTTCTCCGGTGTCATTTCTCACAGATGTAGTCAACTGGATTCTGTGTATTCCATCTGGAGAAACCTATGTGTATAAAGTTGTGTTGTTGAAAAAAAAAGGTATTTTCTATAAATAAATCATTGGTCTTGCAAATCCTGTCATGCGATCTCCAACTTCATTTCTATTACCAAGACCACATTTTCCAACTACTGTTCCTTCCTCTTTCCAATTTTTACATTACAACTGCCAATCATTATCAATGCCTCTTGATTGCATGTTTGATCAATTTCAAACTGAAAACCTTGATTGAATTCTTCAATTTCTTCATCACTCGTTCTAGTAGTAAGGAGCCCTGGTGGTGTAGTGGTTATGAGTTATGCTGTGATTCACATGGTTGGCAGTTCTAAACCATCAGCGGCCCCACGAGAGAAAGACTGGACTTGCTACATTCATAAACAGTTACAATCTCTGAGACCCACTGTGGGTCGCTATGATTCACCAGTCACTGGATGGCAATGAGTGGTTTGGTTTGAGCTCTAGTGAGTGGTACATAAATTGAGCTGCATTGATTGTATTTCCTTGAAGACAGATAGATATAATCCTATCACAGACAGTGTTGTACTTCAAGATAGATCATGAAATATCCATTTAGACAATGCTAATCTTCTCTGTAACATTCCAATTTTAGTATATGTGCTGCAAAGCGAGCACAAATATGGAACGCTTCACGAATTTGTGTGTCATCCTTGCATAGGGGCCATGCTAATCTTCTCTGTATCGGTCCATTTAGACAATGAATGTTGCTCCATTCTTCTTGATTGTGTGATTCCCAGCATAGTAAACCATATGATTTTCTGATTCAAAATGGCCCATACCAGTCCATGTCAGCTCACTAACATCTACTATCTTGATCTTTATGCAGTCTGTTGAATTTTTAACGACTTCCAATTTTCCTAGATTCAGACTTCTTCCATTCTAAGTTCTGATTATTAGTAGATACTTGCAGCTCACATTGAGTCCTGCCCCATCAGCAAATGAAGATCCTGAAGTCTCTACTCCGACAGGCTTTACTCCATTCACGTCACCAAGGCCGACTCTAATTTGAGAAAGCAGCTCTCAGTCATAATTCGGGTGCACTCTGACCCAAGGGGCCCATCCTCTGGCACCACCTCTGACAATATTCTGCTTCCAGTCATTAGGCCCTGAGTACCTGACAATGTTTCCAAGATGTGCAGAAGGTTTTCAGTGCCCGCTTCCTCAAAGCGAGCAGCCAACTCCTTCGTAGTCTGTTCTGAGTCTGGAAGCTGGAATCTGTTCCTTTTGGGTAACCCTGCTGGCATTTGAAATACCAGTGACTTAGCTTTCAGCATCACAACAACAAGCAGGCCACCACAGTAAGACACACTGGCAGACAAAGGGTAGATAGTATTGTTAATATGCAAATAAGCCCCAAGGGGTTGGATCAAGAAAAAAAAGTGCATAGAACCCTTTAGAAGACATTCATCAATTGTTCATCTCCCTAGGTTTAAAATGAACCATGCAAGTGCTAGGATGGGAACCTCACTAGTACTAAGAGAGAGGAGCTAAGAGTGCAGTGCCTCCTTCGGACCCAAGCTCCTTAGACTGAGAACTTCCTAGGCTCATGAGAAACAGAGAGCATGGTAACATTGGAAATGGTACTACAGATTAAAAAGTTCTGACCAAGAAATGGCAGTAGCAGAACCAGGGTATCAGCAAGAAACTATGCAGTAGACTTCCTAGCCCCTGTAGTGAGGTTGCTACGGTGGGTGTACTGATCCACAGAGTAAGAGCTGAGTGATTTGGGGCAAGAGACTTGCTGGTGGAGTAAGGTATTTTTGGGGTACTGGTCAGGGCTAAATAGCAGGACCCTACTGAGGGTGAGGATGGAGAGAAGAGGCCTGCCCTTCGAGGGAGCCAGAGGAGTCTCTGCTCCAGGAGCTGAGGGAGCTGCCCAGCATTGCCTATTTGCTCCCCATCTTGGTCCCAAGTTGTGGCCTGTTGATCCTGATCCAAAGTTCTAACCTGTTCCTTTATGAATAAACTTGTAACTGTGAGTCTGGCCTGTGAGTTCTGTGTGGCCATTACCATGAATTATCAAACCCAGCAGAGAAGCAGAAAGTGCCATGGGAAGTACAGCTGGTATCCAAATTAGTAAAAAAGGATGTCAAGTGGAAGTATGTCTGACTTCCTAGGGAGCATTTGGTTGATATTGATCTTGATTCTCTCTCCCCCTTCTGAAGTTCCAAGACATGAGTATAGTGGTAATTAATGGAATCTTGTACATGGCTGATAATATACTGTGAAGCATTTGGGGAATTGTTTGAAAATTATTGTTCTCACATTTAACCGATGGGTTTCAGAAGAAAAGCTGTATTTCACTTGAAAATTTGTGTGATGGAAAAATAACTTTCTTTTAAAGTTCTGTTGAGCTGGTGGTGTGATGGTGGAGCCCTTGGCTGCGAACTGAAAGATCAGAGGCATTGTGCTCCATTGGAGCCCTGTGAGCTGGAACTAACTGATAACAACGGGTTTGATTTGAGTTTTGATTCCTGTTGATCAGTTCATGTTATTGTGTCCATATAAATGTCCTCATTTTGAGACTTTTTCTGCTGACATATTAACGTTTGAGGAAACTGAGCAAAGAACATACAGCAATTCCTTTTGGGGGGGCTATTATTTCTTTTGAAATATATAAGCTGACATTATTTCACAATAAAAAGTTAAACAATTTTAGAAAATCACTTGAAAGGGTAATTCATAGAGGTTGGTAGAGTTTCCACACTTTGTGCCCTGCGGGCCTGGATCCAGGAAAGATGCTCCTTTTGCCTCTTACTTTTGCTGACAATGTGATGAAAGCCTTGTAGGTCAGATGGAGGACTGTAAGCCCAGAAGAGTGGAGCCATTATTCTACATATCCTACCAAATACTCGAGGCAGTTCGCAAAATGCTTAGAAACTGCTGCCCTGGTGATGGGGAATGAGTCCTTGAAAGGCTTTGAGCAAGGCAAGCCTAAAACGCCAGTCATGGTTTAGGAAGAGCTAGCCGTCTATCAGGCTTCATTCAGTCCATAGGATTGGAGAAGTGGGAAGACTGGACTCAGCAAATCCCACTAAGTTATTCTAATAATGGAGTGGGATGGCCCCTCTGTGAGCGGAGAAGGAAGGAACTCGGAGAAGGAAACTCACGTGAGAGGCATGTTGAAGGTCTCATCAGTCCAAGTGGGACTAGACTGGTATAGGGCAGAAGGAGCGAAATGAGTCAATGGTTACAAACGTGTCTCACCTGGATGACTGGTTGATTGGTGCAATGGTAGTGTCACTGAGAGGCAGATTGAAAATGTAAGGCAGGAGAGAAGTACAGACCTTGAGCAGCAAACTGAAGTGGTTCCAGGGGCCAGGGGAGAAGGCAGCAGAGGGGCGGCTATAACAGATGAAGGCTCTCCTTTCTTTTCAGGATGCATCACAAGGAGTAGCCACCACCGGCCTCCAGCCGCCTTTGCTGTGTGGGAACTCACTTGCAATGTTATCAGAGTTTCCATTTCTGCAAGGGAAGTCAGAACTCTAGCTTTCTTGTATAAAATGTCTTAACTCCTTAAAGTTAGTCACTTTTTTTTAAAAGCATGGTATGTGCCAAACCAAACACATCTGTGGGCCAGATTCCGCATGCAGGCGACCAAGTTGTGACCTCTGAGACAGTGAAAAGGGCAAAGGTCAGCATTCAAAAACTGTCATGGTGACATGGAGGGTGACAAGTGACCGTAAAGAGATTCCACAACTGAAATATGATGAAAGGTTTTTGACCAGCAATCTCAGTTATATCAATGTCCCTTCCCTTCACATTTACACACTGATGTGAATTTACACAGGAAGTTTCTTCTAAGCCCCAAATGGTTAACTCATAAGAATTTGAGTGCTTACTGTATGCCGTCTATACAGAAGTCCAGGAATTTCCCATTTAACCAGAGGATGCAAAAAGCAAAGAACAAAAAAAACACCACACCCTGCTGAAATCGCTTGAAGCAATTTTGTAGCAACCCGGGAAATGACATCCTATACGTTATGCTAGAAACTCAGAGATTTCTTAAATAAAGCCCATTGAGCAAATGTTGCTGTGTAGCTCTGTGTGTGTGTGTGCATGTGTGTGTGTCTGGGACCTACAATCTGATTTTTCCTGTGTGTGTGTGTGTGTGTGTCTGGACCCCACAATCTGATTTCTCGTGTTTGTGCCTGGACCCCACAATCTGATTTCTCGTGTGTGTGTGTGTCTGGAACCCACAATCTGAGTTCTCGAGCCGTCCTTTCACAGCGCCAGCCTCGCGATGCCCAAGGGCATTCCAGCCTCTGCGCGAGGGCAGCGTGAGCGGGGTTGGGGGTCCGCCGCGCTCCCGGGAATGGCTGGGCGTGGCCACCGAAAACCCGCTCGCCGTCAGGTTTCCCGGCCGGAATCCCCGCCTTTGTTTCTGCCGCGACTCCAAGCGTGTCCGGAGGGGAAAGGCACGCACCTCAATAGAAAGTGTCACCGCGATGGTGACAGTGGGGCGAACACCAAGGCCGGACTGGTTTGCAAAAGCCCCAGCTCGCTCCCTGCGGAGCGCGGCCGGCGGCCAGGA